TATCTCATAGTATCAATTCCACCAAAAATACACATTAAATATTTTTTAGAAGACTTAAAACTATGTTCCAAATTAAGTTATTAACATATGTTTATCATATTTATTACTACTTTTGTATTAACACTTTAACCATAATGTCATTCTAGTTATCTTACACATAATGTAAAATTATTAATTCTAACTTTTCTCTCGTAACCTTAGGGCATATGCTATTAGTAATCCAAATATAACTTGGATTAGTAGTGAAACCTTAGCGTCTCGTCCCATTCACCATACACTAGCATATATAAAGTACTTCCTTAATATCATGTGTCACTTCTTTACTTCTACCTGAGGATCAGGTAACCCACATGTACCGACATATAACCATATTTCTTATTTCTATATGTCTACTAGCCCTATGTGTATCAACACATATCAATCAATTTTAGGCAACCATCTTAGGGTTGATTTGCCTCACATGTATCAACATACATGTATCTCATCTAAACAACAACCTCATACACATATTCCTCACTTATCTCCAATAATATAGATACATCACTAGAGGGTCACTTTAGTTGGTTGATTGATGTACTTCTAGTACACAAATTATTTGATTTTGTCTTTTCCTCACTTGGGACTTAGACGATGATACCAATTCACTTTCAATGGTTGAATATACCTCTATAATAAGATTATTAATTTTATTTTGACTTAGACTTACATATTAATTATTATTAGCTCTTAAATGACTAACAAACATAATCAATTTTAAGTGTCTACTGGTCACTCAAGTGAGATTCATTTGACATCAATTATATCTCCTTTATAGATATTTCAATTGAGAGTCCTAGAAGTCATTTGAGTGAGACACTTTTTGTATCAACTTTTTTTGTTCATGACTTCCTCACTTGAGTGTCAACCCTTTGTTTGAGCGATTTACCATATAATGGCCCCTTGCTTGAGTGATAGTTGGATGTTTGAGTGAATCATTACCGTTTAAGTTATCTCTTCCACTATTTTAATCATAACTTGAATGTTCAACTTGTAGCTAAAGTGACGTGACTCATAATAGTGAAGCAAAGCAACAATGAAATTTTAATTCACTCCCACCAATGCATTAGCAATTCAAGCATGCACATTCATCACATACATTTATACATGTCAAACATTAATAAAATCCTAAGAGCATGTTCTTCTAACATATTTCAACAATCAAAACAACACCAAAAATAACCATCTTAACTTAATTGTAGCATAAGTATTATAATTGAATATTAACTTCTCCAACTTAGATTATTTCGTATTTCAACCTTTTCCAAGTAAATTTGTAACCCATTATACCTTGTTTTTCTTCCTTTACAAATTGGTAACATTTTCACTTATCAAAAGTATTTCAAATAACTAACTAAGTAGAATTCTTCTATACTTCCCAAGATTCACTTTACTACTGCCCAACCTGAATTCTAATAGTCTTAGTGTCTAGTTTTTATAAAGAACTCAAACTCATTTTGTAACTTTAGAGAAATAATTTTTTTTATGAAAACAAAACTATTTAGCTTTTTATTTATAGAGTTTTTTAATTTTAACTAAATACATTTTATTTTTATAAAATTTTGATCTCTTGCCATCTCTTTACCACAACATTTTTTATCTTAAAAATTGAACTAGTGAATAGGTAAAAATAAAAGTCTCTCATCAACACCTCGAACTCTTAAGTAAAATAACATACTTGACATTTCATACCACTTTCACCATATTAGTTGTTTAGTCTCAAAACTATCTAATATGACAATAGTCTACCCTCATTTATCTACTTTCTAGTAATAGTTCTTATCTAATTTAAATGTCATTTGACTATATAATATGATTTAGGTCACACACATATTTTTTCAAACTAGATACATAGAATACATTAGACAAATTAGTTAAGTGAAGTGGTAAAGGCAACTTATGTCATTAGACTACGACAAAGAATCTTATATTACTCAATAATATTTTAAGTCAACTTTCTTGACTTGATATCCTTTCCTACCCTTATAGTGCGTTTGATCCTCAAAAATACATGATTTTAAGTTATTTTCTCTTATTTTCATAAGATATATGTCTAATCATGGAGGTCTTCAGCCTTTCATGGATGTCTCAAACATTTTTTGTGATTTATTGCAATTACTCTAAACCAACAAGTACATTCTTTTTATCCTAGTACAAAGACAATGGTGCTTTGCATTTCCTTCCATACAAAGCTTTGAATGGTGTCATCTCAATCCTAGCATGATGATTATTATTATAAGTGCATTTCACCAAAGGAAAAATCTCATATGAGTTGTCCAAACAATTCAATCTACACAATCTCAACAAATCTTTTAATGATTGGATTGTTCTCTTTGACTAGTATGTTTATGGATTGTAAGTAGAATTTAGTCTCAATTTTTTAAGCCTCTTGTAGTGTCTATAAGAACCTAGATGCAAATCTAAGATCTTGGTCTAAGATTATATTAGAAGGTACATTATGAAGTCTCACACTCTCCTTGATATAAAATTGAGTCAAAGTAGTAGTGGAGAATCTTAAGTTAACTAGCAAAACTCTAATGATAACATCATTTTAGCTACCTAACACATAGGGTAAAACCATTGACAATATTTTTTATTCTAGCCTACCTCTTATAATCTCAAGGCAAGCTACATAAATCCCTCCATTGGCTCATTGACAATATCTTAATCTATGTGACTTTGGTTATTAGTGATATCTAGGTATCTCATCAAATCTGTAAAAAATAGTAATAAACTAACAAGTACTTCCCTTGTACCATCCATCATTTTTAGGCCTCTCATCAGGCTAAAGTAACTCATACATAACCAACATATAAACAGATTTATCATTTCTATGTCACTTCTTCATGATGATTTGCCCCATATGAATCAATACACATAAGTTAATTCTAGGCAACCACCTTAGACTTGACTTGCCTCACATGTGTGTGTATATATATAAACTAGGTGTCAATCCCACACACATATCATTACCTTATCTCCAATAGTAAAGGTATATCGCTTGAACGATATATATCCACTATACAAGTTATTTGGTCTTATTGTTAAGTAATCAAAATGTGAGTTTAAGTCCTATATTGAGTATAAATAAGGAAGTTGAACAACATATAAAGGAGAAAGATCCATAACCTAATATAATAATTTTGGTTGAATGTGGTGTCAATCCCTTATGTGGGTTTGATTAATATCTCATTGATATAATCTCTCCCTAGTGAATCCCCGATCGAAAACCCAACATTTATATCTTCCATACTTGGGAGACCTTATATTGCTTGAGCAATGACACCATTTCACTTAACGTTTTCCTTAATGTTTGAGTGAAGTACGTAAATAATAAGATTGTTAATTATTTTTTATTCTCGCTTAAGCACCACATGTTAGGTAATCCAAGTGTGAGTTAAGTTTCACATTGAGTAAGAATGAGAAAACATATAAGGAAGTATGACTCATAACCTAATACCTTAAGATTTTGGGTTGAGAGTGGTACCAATCTCTTATGTGGGTTAGATTCATTGTCTCATTGATGTATTTTTCCTCTGTGAATCCCTTCGAAAGACCCAATACCACAATGATCGTTTGAGCAACTAATAATTCTCTTTTCCTAAGCAATAACCTTGCTCAAGAGTCTATTGATCCCTCAAGTGACATTTGTGTGACTTTGATTCTTTTTTCTCCATAAGTATATTACTTAAACTTCCTATAATTAGAACGAGCGAGAACACTTTTTATATCAATTCTCTCTCCCCAATAGACCTCCTTACTTAATCGTGAACCTTTAGCTTAAGTGAATTGCCACTAAATGTCTCTCACCAAAATTATCACTAGTTATTTGAGTAAATTATTACCATTTAAGTTTTGACATTTAAGTAAATTATTATTAAGCCAAATTTTTCATTGTTAAGATGATAACTTGACTCATGAAGGTAAAACATAACAAAAATAAATTTTTCATGCCAACCAACATATTTTTAATCTAAATATGTATATTCATACTATATACTTAGACATGTAAAGCACTAAGAACATATTTTTCTAACATACTTTCACCACCAAAATAACCAAAAATAAAATAAAAAAATCAACGTAACGCAATCCTATCATAAATATTATCTTTGAATATAAACTTTCTTTATCCGAATTATTCTGTATTTCAATCTTTTCTAGATAAAAATTTGCAGCCCAATATAATTACAACCTGAGTTTACATATTGGGAATATTTCCTGTTACTAACCAATCCCCTTAACTTTATGATTTCAAGAATATCATATAATATAAATAATTACTTAATCTTTTATATATCACAAATGGTTGGCCATAGTGTTGCGCTCAAACAAACAAAAATTAGTTAACTGAAAATTAAAATTTTTTGCTCAAAGGAAATAAGTTCAAGCGATTTTCCTTATCGAAAGGAGTTATTGTTTACATTAACTTGTTTTAAATTTGCTCTTAATTGTTTGCAATTTAATATAATAATAATGAAAATTGTTATAATATAAATGAATATTATCAATATATCATTATATTAAAAATGGTTACGATGTGAAATACTAATTCTTAAGAGAAATAATACTATTTCATATAGTAAGAACATAAAAAAAAAACAAAAAAAAAAACTGTAATACTAAGAGTGTACCACGATGCGAAAACAAATATGTTAGGATCATTATTTCATTAATTTTTGAAATAAATATTATCGCACTTATTATTCATTCAAATTAGTATGCAAGAAATAAACATTATATTATAGGAGCTATTATTATTATGATGTACAATCGTATGAAGTTTGTTTCCCCACATATCGAAAGCATGCAAGAAAGTCGTTGTTGTTTTGAACATGTCTTTAACTTGCGCAAAGCCACTGTCAAAACAGGATGTGATTTTCCATTACTGATCTCGACAACAATGCCAACAGTTTTAAAGTCTCATGAATATCATCGATTACCACTCCACTCTGTTCCAGCTAATGAATGCAGCAATAAGTTTAATGCAGCAACTCAAACAGGCCAATGAGGTTTACGAGCCGGTCTCGCGTGGAGAGAGAGAGGTAGCCAGAGGGGCATCCAATGCTCTGTCACTCGGCGCATGTAGTGTAATTATGAAACTTAGGGGCTCCAAAATGTCAATTACGAGATATGAAAAGGATAATCATAACACCAATAACACCATGATCTGCATTTTTAACTTGAAGGAGTCGATATAAAATGTTTAACATGAAAAACAAGGGAGCATGAACCCCGAGAATCACCTCCAACGACTCCTGACACTGGCCATTAAGGATCCATCCAAGCAGAAGAAAAAGAAAACACAATGAAACATTGTCATCTGCAGTGGCCTCTCACCACGCTCTGCAAGAACAGATTTAGGGGGAGGAAAAATGAACTGACAAAAACAAGGAAAAGTCAAATTCAGAGCAATGTTCATTTGTGAGGCATCTACACGCCTCTCAGAAGAGTTATTGCCATGCACGTCTCTCGGAAGAGTTACTGCAATGCACGTCTCTTAAAAAAGACAAGCTGTTTCCCATTTGTCATTTTCAACGATTACAACATAATTAACAAAACAACAAATAATAATAATAATAATTAAAAATATAATAATAATAATAATAATAATAATAATAATAATAATAATAATAAATAATAATAATAAATAATAGACTCTATTGTGTTTTTTCTTAAAATTCAGAATAATTTGATTTTAGTACTTCAAATTAAAATAAATAAATAAATAAATTTTAAACTTTAAAATTGAAAAATAGTTTTAATTCATAAATAGTAAATTTAGAGAATTAAAATAAGTTTACAAATCCTTTGAATTTAGTATTTGAAGACTAAAGTAATATTTTATTAAATTTTAAAGACTAAATATTTTTTTCTAATTTAAGAGACTAAATCTAACATTACTATTATTATAATACATTATATTTGGATTAGGATCATCCAATTCAAAATAATAATAAAATACATAGGTTATCATAAGAATATATAATAAATATATAATTTAATTATCGTATTAAGTAAGATCCAATCGATCACCTTTTTGGTATCACGATGCAATTACAGATAATCTAGTAAAAATAATAGAAATTAAACCTATCATGACTCTAAATATATGAAAATTTTTAATAATTTTTTATTTAAAAATAAACTTGTATTAAGTGTAATTATATAATATATATATATATATATATATATATATATATATATATATGTAAAAATTCATAGTATAATATAATACTTTGGATAATCACATTTATCTAGAAATATTCTCTCATATAATGTTATCTATGTATAACAACACAATTATAATAATAAAGTCAAATAAATAAAAAGAGGCAGTAAGTTAAATAAATATTTAATATAATAATTTAATTAATAATTCATATTTCATATATCATCTCTCTTTATATATATATAATTTCACTCCCATCACTCTCGGTGGATCACATTTATTATAAAAAAAATTTCAAAAATCAACAGTCTAAAGTTATATAAAGTATCTTGATAATTATAATAGATTTAAACTATGTGTTTAATTTATAATTTGAATATGTTAAAAAAAATAAAGTTGACATTTTAAATACTTTTAATTGATTAAAATAAAACATATTTAAGTGAAATTTTTTAATTAAATAAAATATTTTTTATACTGAACCTAAAACTGGTAAAAATATTTTTAACATATTAAAAAGTATATAATTCATTAAAATTTTGCACTTTTTTTAATTTAACTTAATTTATTAAAATTCTTAATTGTTTAACATATTTCTCATATTAAAACTTTACAACAAATTATTAATTAATGTACTAACTTTCCAAATTTACTTATCTAAAATACAAATTAAATCAAAGACAGCTTATCAATTTATCGTCACATATCATTACAAAAAAATGAGTTGAAAGACACCTTTGATCATAATACTTTAAAAGATACCTGCTTTTATCAATAACAATCACCACAATAATAATAAAATTAATCAAGTAACTAGTTAAAAAACTTACCTAATATATTTATTAGAACATTCAAACTTAAACATTTTATTTTTTTTATCAAAAATTCCTTTTTTCTTTTGAGTTTTAGAGAAAAACTTGTTATATATTAATATGTTTATATACTATGAAATATATTTTATATATAATACATATTATATAAATATTAATTTTATATTAATATTATTACTAAATTTATGATAAAAATAATGTCAATTATAAATTTTAAAATAGAAGGTGAAATTTATCAATATATTTTTATTTTGATTGATAAATAATAATAATAAATTATTAATCTTTTGAAATAATATAATAATATAAGAAAGGATAGAATAAGATAACAATAATTAACATAAAATAAAATATAAATTGAACTGATATGCAAAACTTTATAATATTATCAGTTAAATATTATCATTATTATTACTATTATATAATTTTAAGATAATTATTATCAAAATTAATAAATTTATTATAATAGTTTATAATAAATGAAAAAAACTTATATTATTAGTAAATGGTTTATTACTTTTAACAATTTTTTTAATTATATTTTAATTTTATAAAAATTAAAAATTACATTATATTTAATAAATTTAAATTTTATTTTATTTTATTTCAATTAATTTGATTCTTATATATTTTTTTACTAAACACTTAATATATTTAGCAAGATTCTATTATTATTTTTGAGAGAGAAAAATAAGCATTATAATGATTAATAGAAATTCAACAAGATTAGGACACTTTAATCATTATAATTTATATATTTTCCTTTTCCTCTTATTACTTTTTTTTTAATTTACAAAACTTTTCACATTTTGAATATAATAATTTATTTATTTGTTTAGTTTCAAAGGTTCATTAGGTTAGTTACATTCATTATAGTTTGTTCATAAACAAAATTTTGAATAGATTTTGTTTTCTATTTGAATATTTAAATACATCTAGCACATACTTTAAAATAGAAATATAAAAAATAAATATATACCGAAAAAATAGAACAATTTTGCTTTTAGTAATACCATTATGTGATTTTTTTAGAAAAGCAATTGACACGTTGTTAACCCACGTTTCGATTTCTTTTATTAACTGAATAAATGTTTCCATGGTTATGTCAGATTAAGACTCACCGAATTAAAAACGTCCATTTCTGTCGGAAAAGGTAGAGATCGGATTCATCAATCATTTGGAAAGTGCAAATTCCAAACTACACTTTGACATTGTGTACATGTCAGTTTATCTTCGGCAGTGTTTATGTATGAAACAATGATTGAATATTCCTCGTCCAAACATCGCATTCAGCAACCTATACGCCACATAGTCACTACTACCGAGAGTCTTATACTTCAATAAACTAATAAGTATCTTAGTAGATAAATATTTTACACTATCTAATATTAAATGCTTAATTATATTATTATGTTGCATTTTAATTATTATTTCATATATTATTATATGCTAAGTAAATACACATTTGTAGTATGTGCTAGTTTCATGAAATAGATATGCTAAATATATATTTTTTAGTGTTAATAATATATAATTCTTATAAGAAAAAATATGAAAAAAATACAAGTAAAAATATCATTTAACATATGTTTTTATGAATTTTTTTATTGAAACGATTTAAATATAATGGTAGGACAATAAACAAAATACACATATATAGTGTTTAAAATATCAATATTATATTAATATTATGTATTTTAAGAATAATAAAAAACAATAATCATTAAAATAAAAGATGATATATAATTCATGTTGTTATTCATTGTGCTGAATATTCATAACTCTTCAATCCCATATAATAATATTAGATCAATATAATAATATCTTATTAAGACTTAAGAATTTTCTCTGCTCACAACTTATTAATGTTCTATAAATATAAGTTTATTCATTATTTCTCTTAAACATTAGAGTAAAACATACGAAAATGTAGTAACCTTGTTTATTTTATAACCTAAATTCAACTAATATTTAACTTTACTATCTAAAATTAAAACACTTAGAGTCAAATATAAACTATATGATATGCTATGAAAAATAATGAGTGTATAAAAATATATTTTATTAAAAAAAATTTAAACTTTATCTGTAAAACAAATTTATAACATAATACACAAAATTATAATAATTTACTTATAATTTATTTTATTTTAATAATTTTAATACAAAGTAAACTAACATAATAATATATTTTACTTTTTCTTTCACTAGTTTCCTTGATTAATTAGACTAATAGATTATACAAGGTAGATGTAGATTAATTGAGTTAATAAATTAAATAAGATAGACTTAAACCAAGTGGACTAATAAGTTAAATGAGGAGAGTCAAATTAGCATGACTAATAGGTTAGGCTGAAAAATTTCAGACTAGCTAGACTAATAAATAATATGAGGTAGACTGAGATTAGTTGGACTAATAGGTTAGACAAAAATAAATGTAGAACAGTCGAATTTAAAATAGATTGGACTAATAAGTTAAATAAGATACACTCAGATTAGTTAAATTAATAAATTAAGATAGACTCATTCTAATACAACGTGAGACTAATTTAAAATAAAATAAATTCAGATTAATTGAGCTAATAAGTTAAATAAGTTAGATTAAGATTAACTAAACCAATATATTAAGATACAAACTGATATATTTAAAGTATCAACTTAATTTATTGGTTTAAGACAAGTTGATGTCCAACTTATTTGTCATTTTTACCAATTACAACATTTTTAATACTAACATGATCTCATATTTTTAGTGACAAATTTTAACTTTTATTATTAGTTTTTTTTTATTTTAAAATTTTGTAATAGTATTTTTTATTCAGTTCATTATTTATTTGTAGATATTTTAAAAAATATATTTTTTATCATTTAAATGTTTTTAAATTATTAATGAGATTACTTATCAGTTAAAAACTGATAAAAGATAACTAAATTAAATTATTGTTTTGAAAATTAAAGGATTAAATTATTTTTAATAGCAAATCAATTCTTTTAATAAACGGCATAAAAAACTAAGTTAAAAAAAATAATGAAATTTATTTTATTTTATTTTATTTTTTATCAACTTTTTTTTCTCGACACCCCTGGGTTTTTTCCCTCCAAAAAACACTTTTGCACTGGTACCGAGTACCGACTCTCCTGATAATGATAACAGTAATAGGGTTCATAAAACGAAGAAAATGCAATTGTGTGATTGGATGCCACTCTTGTGATCATTAATTGGTGCTTTAGTTGGTGTTTTGGAACCAGAATCGACTACACCCTCCGGGAATACATTCACCGTGCTGTCCAAATCTACCGCGCCTTAACCTTCTCAAACCCTAACACTATAAATAAGTGTTCATTCCTTCGCCAAATCCACCATCACAGTTCCATCCTCGATACTCTTCTCTCTCACAAACACACTCATTTCGTTTCGAAGCTGAATCGAGGTTTCTCTTTCCTCTCACTCTCGCTCTTCATTTTTCAATTGCACTCTCTATACTAGTAATTCCATTTTTTTTCCCTCTTGTTAATTTTACTGATTGAAATAAGAAGAGAATCTGAGCCCTTTTTTGCGTTGTGGTGTTTTTTGGGTTTTCATTTTTAGCAGGAAGAAAGCGTGTTAAGTTGGTTAATCCTATCTTGTTTTATTTGAACACAATGAAAAAAAAAAAAACGAGAAGAGATGTTTTTGTAGTCAATGCCTGAAACTCTGTCGGAGAATTATTGTTTGCAGTTAATTATGGATTCACAATAATGACGGAAAAAAAAATCTCTTTTCGTATATTATTGTTTTGGTTTTCAGTTCATCTAAACATTTGTGTTTTGGCTATTCAAATTTCATTTCATGGTGTGGATTGGTGAATTAGCGACCAAGGTTTTAAAAATGGTTTTGCAGTCTTGATCTCGGTCCGGCGTCAAGGTTTTTGGGCACTTGGAAACTGGTTGGCGGTCCCAGGTCTGGCGAATTGTGGGTACAAATTGTCTGTAACTTGCTGCAGTATCAAGGATGGGTATGAAACCACAACTGCCACCTATATTTAAATTTTTTTTTATAACACCATTTGGAGTTCTGAATCTTTGTTTGGCTTTTTTGGGCTGATCTCTTGTGTTGACTGATTATTCTTGCAGGCTTTTAGGGAAGTGACTGAAAGAGGCTGTGACAATAGATTTGAGTATAGATTCAATAGGTACAATTCAATCTGGAAAATTTAAACTCATTGTAAAATATATAGATACGAAACGTGAATTTGCCGAGTGATCCTGTGACATATATTTAGATATAGAGGAAGGTGTTTTTGCTACTAGTTTGGTAGTGTATTTGAAGCCTCTGCATATTTCTTGTTTTGGAGGTGTGTTTCTATTTTAAGATCAGTGATTGATGGATGTTGTAAATGATTTGCCTTTAGGACCCAGCAACGGCCAATTTGGGAGGTTCAACTAGTTTCTGTCACAGAAGCGGAAAATGGCGGGAAAGAAGATACAAGGTAATTCTGTTGAGTGTGAAGGTCCTGATTTTTCACTGCATAATTCTTCACCGAAGATGGATGCTACTACAAATAACCCATTACATGAGTCCCCAGCTTTGTCTAATTTCTTAACTTGCCAAATAATTGTAGAATATAATTCGACACAGCAGAATGAAAAGAGCAAACGGAAGAAGACAACACATAATCCTATTGAAGGCAATGATAGCGGTTGCAGCTCTTCAGAGAATACCTTCTCACCAAAAGCTTCCTTTCATGCATTGAATATGCTGTCAGGACATCCAATGGAATGTTTTTCCATTGATGCAATGACAGGTCAATCTTGTGAGGAAGTGGGTATTCCTCAGGGAGATCACGAAGAAAAGGAGCAGAATATGATCAATACAACCGCAGAAAAGCATCAGGGCGTTCCAGATGTAAGCTGCAACCACATTTCGGTTGCAGCAAGTCCTGAGCGTTTTGTGAAAGAGTATGTGCCAGAAGTCTTGAAGATAGAGCATGGCATAAATGATAACATTTCCAACCCGGGGGATAAGAATATTTTTGAAAATAATACAATTCTGATGAAGAAAAATGCTGATGACCCAGCAGATTATGACTTGTCTGATAAAGATCTGTGTTATAAATCCTGTGTAATGGTTAATGCTGATTGTAGGAGAAGCAGTGGCTGCCCTAGTCCTCAAAGTCCCAACAAGGAACCGACTATTCAGGATAATGACAAGGATGATTCACAAAAATATTCTGATGGACCATTGAGAGTTGGCTTGATGGATGGAGAAACAAAACCTTCAACTGCTCAAGTTACCTCACATATTAGAGCTGCAGCTGAGGAAATAAAGTTGAGCACTGACAACATTGATGAGCAAAGATTAATGGCTACATCTTCTGTTGTAGACATTCCTGTGGAGCATCTCAAAACAGATGGTAGACAACTGGATCATACTGAGATTACAAGAAGAGATCTGTGTTGCGCAGGTGATGTTTCTGATTTAAGCTTAGACACACTAATATATGATCATTTAAATATTTTACGATTGTAATTGTTACTTGCAATTCGAAAATAAGTTTCTCATTCTGTGTTGTCCAGCTGAGGAAATAGAGTTGAACACTGACAACATTCATGAGCAAAAATCTATGACTAACTCATCTGCAGCAGACATTCACGTGGAGAAACTTGAAACAGATGGTAGACAACTAGATCATACGGAGATTACAAGAAATGATCTGTGTTGTGCAGGTGATGTTTCTGATTTAAGCTTGGACACAGGAAGAGATGGTCATTTAAAGATTTCACAATTCTCACTAGGCAAAAGTGTTGCTGTCAAACCAAAGAAGCTTCTCATCCTTGATGTGAATGGACTGCTTGCTGATTTTGTCACTTTCAACGCCACTCGTACAAGATATACACAAGAACCAGAGCCAGATTTTGTGCTGAAAGGGAAAAGAGGTGACATGGTCAAATATCTGGTTTCCTCATTCCAAATTTCATCTTTCGGTCTAAGGTTGAATTTGACTGTCAAGTTTTTTTTTTCCTTTTGCAGTCTACAAGAGGCCCTATTGTGAAGATTTTCTACAGTTTTGCTTCGACAGATTTCATGTAGGAGTATGGTCTTCTAGAGCCAAGTAATTGCCAATCTATAACTGATTTGTTTTTGTTTATTAGTTTGGCCAATACTTAATACGCTATCATAGATTGGATGATTTTTAGTTCGGCAATAGAAAAGTGGCCCTTATACATTTTTTTACTTTGCCACTATTGGCAGGAGCAATGTTGATGAAGCAATCAGGTTTCTTATGGGGAAATCTGCATCCAATCTGCTCTTTTGTTGGGTAATCTGATCTTAATCTTCTTTATTTTTTTAATATATTTTAGGGCCTTTTTGTTAGGTATATAAGTCTGCTATAAACTTATTTCTTTTTCTACCTAGGTGTATTGCATTAATATTTTTACTCTAAATAGCCTTTTGTTTTGTGTGGGCCAGATGTTGAATGGTTATTGAGATTGATTTGTATTCATGCCTTGCATATTGGATTATAGGAAATTTTATTAATCACAAAACATAGCAAATTTGCTGTTAATTAACAAGAAGAAACATGTGGCTCTTGCAGCCTTGTAATTTATAGTTGTCTTTTTTGTTTGATATTTGTGGATGCTAATGGATTTTGTTTTAGACAAAGTGGAATTGGACTTATTGTAAATCATTATCGCATTTTAGTAAAATAAATTGTTGTTTCATCATTATAGATGCGGTTACAACCTGTAAATGGTTACTATTATCAACTCATTCCTGATTTTGGAATTTCTCTAGACGCTATTAATCTTTGTATAATGTTACATGCAGAATCAGTCCCACTGTACTTCAACTGAATTCACTACTGTTGAGAATGTATACAAGCCCCTTGTGTTTAAGGAACTTAGAAAGTTGTGGGAAAAGGAAGAACCCGGTTTACCGTGGGAGAAGGGAGAGTATAATGAGTCGAACACATTATTATTGGATGACTCCCCTTACAAGGCTCTAATGAATCCTGTAAGCTTTCTTGCTATGTTTTCCTTTTATGAAGTAAGCTTTACTTTCTTCTGTTAATCATATTTCCTCCTATTTTACCACTTCACCCTTGCAATTTATTTTCAGATGCATTCAGCAATATTTCCTTATTCTTACCGGTACTACAACACAAGAGACTCAGAATTAGGTGGGACAGTCTTGTGCCCAACTTCCTATTTATCGCACCTGTACTCTTTGCAAAAAACAAATGCTTTAAGCATATTGATATGAAATTCTTGTTAAGCGTCCCATTCTTCTGTTCACAGGACCAGGAGGTGATCTTCGGGTTTATCTAGAAGGGCTGGCTATGGCTGAGAATGTGCAAAAATACGTGTCGGAAAATCCATTCGGCCAACGGCCCATTAGAGAAGCAAATCTATCCTGGGGTTACTACCGTAGAGCGGTAGCATCAGTTCAAAGGAAGCGAAAATGGCTAGGCCCTCATTAACCGGCTGGGGAGATAACTGCTTAAGAACAAAGCATGATGAAAGCTTCCGAGATGCGTTGTATTCACACTGATGATACAAACAGTGCATTTATTTAATCACTCTTATGTATTACTTGACGTTGAGTTTTGATTTGAAATATATCAGTTTTTTATGCTTGCTACTTAACCAAGCCTAGCTGCCCATTTTGTTCTATTGTCTCCATAACTTTAACATTTCTTCGAACGGATTTTGTTTTACGTTGGAAACCAATGACCGCTAGCCGGTGAGATAGATGACAAACGTGGATTAACAGAACCTATTTGAAGCTCTACTTCAACTAACTTTTGGATCTACAAAATCAAAATATTAGGTATCTATCTTCCATATATATGTGCCCATCAGGAAAATATTTTCAAAATTAGGGTTAATTTCATTTAGTTCTGATTTTTAAAAACAGTTTTAAAGATAAATTTTAAGAAATTATTTAAATTCAATTAAAAAAAAATTGAGTTCTTCATTTGGGTTCTGCATTGAAATTTTAAAAAAGTTGTGATATTTTAAGGGATCAGAAAGAAATAAGGGCAAGTATCGGTGGGAAGGGGAAAAGGGTTTATTTAGGTGGAATATTCGATTATACGAAGAAATTGTAAACATAAGCCTGTCTAAACACTGTTGCATGTGCCATGTTGATGGTTCTTTTAAGGAAAGTGTTTTATGGCTGCACCTACACGGAGAAGAGAAAAAGAATTATGTATAACATCTTTAGTCAAATTTTGATTCATTGATGCAATTCACAAGGACTACGTGCAGGGAAGGTGGTGAAATGTTGCTTCCTTAAATTGACTAAAGGGGAAGAAGACTTAAGTGATCGAGACTACTCACTTTTGTGGGAACTCAAATGGAATTATTTCCATGAATTGTTGCAAATATTTCTACCTAATTATTATAATATTACATTAATTTCACTACAATTAGTTTAATTTATTTTGTACTCTAATTCAATAATTATAAACAATTGTTAATCATATTTTACAACTTGTTCTATACTTTTTATTTCAATTATTTGTCTGAAATTTGTACTAAAACCTATTAAAAAACTTAGCGAGGTTTGTCTAAAAATGTTTCACCTCAATGATTCATTGTTTAACACTTGTACTAAAATGTAATAAAAAAAAATAGTGAAGTCTATGTTTTTATTAGGTGCAAGTTTTAACTCCATTTTCGTATATCTTACCATATCACATTAGATTTTGAAAATGTAACTATTATTTATTAAAAAAAAGTACTAATTATATATATAAAATGTCATTGTCATTTAATTGCAAATTATAATGTATGATTTTTTAACTTTCATGATAATTACTTTTAAAACTAGAGTTATCATGATTTAATTGATCCAGAGTGGAAATCTTTTTGTATACTATCAATGCAAAAAAAGTTAAACTCGAACTTTTTTTTTTTAATGTTTGAAACAAAAAGCTATGAATAAAGATTATTTAAGTTTGAGTTATTAACGAGTATACTAAATATACATAATTAAATAATGTCACAAAGCAAAAAGGTATAAGTTCTAAACTAGACACATAAAAGTATGTTTTATAAAGTTGACGTGCTATTGAAATTTGAGTGTCCAAACTTGTTAAAAGATAATGTATTCAACATATCTTTTTGATAAAATATTAATATATCGTTTTTTTTTTTTTCTAAAGCGTTCGATAAGGTCTTTATATAAAATGAACCAAGTTTGTTATTTAGAGATGCTTCTTGGATTAAGATCTTCAAATAGTTTTCTTATAAAGACATTGTACGAAAAGACGAAATGAAAGACTGAAGAAGAGTTATCTGGTATCAACTTCTTATTTTATCTGAGAAAGCTTGGAGAGGATTAGTAAACCAATAATATGTTGATAAAAATAATTAATGTTCTATTATTTAAAGAGAAAATATAAAATAAATATTTGTAAAAGTGTGTGGTTAGCGAAA